ACTGTGAGAAGACAATTCCTGATTTGGGGGTCCTGCTTATTTTCACAATTGCATTAAGAAATGATTCTATGAATGTGACTAAATGTAACACATTTTTTTTTCAGATTTGTTTCTGTTCTGAAACTTCAAAATTCTTTGGACAGATTTCAAAAAGAGTTATTCAGCACCAGGGCTGGAAAGTTGTTTGGTATCCTGTGGAGAAGTGTTTGTTAAGAAGATGCACAGTGTAGACCAGATGTCCAAGAAACCAGAAATTCATCTTGTGAGAAGAGGTTGTTGTGAACATTTGAAAATTGCTGGTAACAGCAGCAGCTGTTGTGGGATTTTAGTTGGTGGCCTGTAACAGGGTTAATATAATTGAATAGAAAAAGACTCAGTCAGGAATTATTTCATCTGAGAGGTTTTGCAACTCGTAAGAGCTGCTAACAGGAGTATTTCTGCTGTGAGCCCTTAACAGGATCTGCAGAAAACAGAGTTGAGTGGGAGAAGTCCTTATTGCTAAGTCCCTTGGATTCTCTCTGCTATCCATTGTGAGTCACTCATGAAATCCAGAGGGAGAATGAGAGAGTGGATTTTTCCATATTATCTCAAAGAGGAGAAAGAATAACAATTTACAGGAAACTTGAAGATCTAGAAAGTGTGTTGTTTTAGTCCTGCAATAGAAAGCTTGACTTTTAACATGATTTAAAATCCAGAGTAGGAAAATAGTGGTACACAAAAGTAAACAAACACTTAGTGGTTTTTCTCCAACCTCCCAGTCTCTTTGTCTTTTTGGAGTCAGACCATCATAGTGTTGCAGGAAAGCATAAGATACCGGGAAGTTCTATCTAAGCCTTCCAAGACATTATTCATAGACTTTGCTCTTCTTGTTCCCTACTCTTGAGGCAGACATTTTACTGGAGATCTTTTCAGTTCCAGAAAGCTAAGAAAAAGCAGTATATCACATCTGGTGATATTATTAAGGTGCATTGCTGTACCTAAACACTTTACAATTTTCGTTTAGTCACCAAATCTGCTCTTTGTGACTGGTCTTCAAGGTTTCAATTTTTCCTGAGAAAAACATCACTCAGTTCCCCATTCCCCTCATAATGTGCTTGTATTTCCTTTTGTGTGTGTGTGTGTGTGTGTGTGTGTGTGTGTGTGTAGCAATAGAATTTGAAGGTTTTAGATGAACCTAGACTAAAAAGGGGAATCTTGTTGCCCCTCTTGGCAATGTCCTAGGGAAGTCCAAGGAAAACAAGAGCTTCTCTTTTACAAAACAGACCTCAGAAAAGGCAATTTACATCACCTCTTAAAGGTGGATTTTCTATATTCACTTTCCTTTCTTTAATTCACAACAGATTTCTAATGAGCCACCAGAGAATGTGAGCGAATCAACCAACTAATTACCAGTGCCACTTATCTTTTTCCTGGTCCCATTTTCCTGTTGGACCTGTGAGAGTTTTGATCCATGGTGTTTTCTGCGTCCTTTTTGCTAATTGAGAGAAGGATGAAACTGCCGAAAATAATGTTGCAATAATGGCTCTCTGGAGCTTTGTAAAGTATAAATATCAATCAACATATTGGGACTATAACTAAAAGGACGCAAAAGAAAAGTTCTTCAGTGATACTTTGGGGGATAATTCTCAGACTCCTCAGTGGAGTAGTTAGGAATACACAGTTTGGGAAATCGAAATGTCAGTGGCAGAAATAAATAGAATATATCCTTTTCAAAATAGAAATAGAAATAGTTATGGTAACATTAAGGTCTCATTTGACTACAAGTTTTCTGGGTTTCATTGGATTCTAAATACTAATAGCAAGGTGATAGGGAACATAGGAAAATGAACCCCGTTGGGTTAGTTAATGTGGGAAATTGAGTGAAGATAGTATTTGCACCTAATAATAAAGAAATGCCAGCCACAGTGATACTTTTAGAAATACTCTATCCCAAGAGCATTAGTCCATCAATGTAGGTACTTCATGATGGTAACAGAAGACCATGTGAGAAGAACAAGGCATAAACATGTATGGTTGCCTGAAAAAAGAGAGTATAGTGCTAAGTTAAGGGAGAAAATAGAACATCACAAACTGAGCTGTACTAGGCACAGGAGGGCTTCAAACAAATGTCATAAAATATGCTCTCCAGAGCCCATGTGCTAATTCTCTATCAACCATCTCTGACAGATTGATTCTTTTAGGAATTCTTCCCTGGATGATTGAAAGAGATAGGAAAAATATCTATAGCTCTCTGTCAAAATTGATCTTTCAACACTTCACTCATCTTCTACTCTCAAATGTCTTACGGAAGTGTCTAGTGACAAAGATGTATTAGAAATGTCTAATAAAGGACAAGGGAGTAAAAGAAATGACTGTTTGAGCTTTCTTTACAGACCTTCTGCTGTGTTTGAACCTTACTATTCCAGTATTCTGTGGACAAATAAGCTACCACATAAGCCTCAGAGATGGGAACTGAAGAGGTAAATAAATTGCATTCCCCAGGGAAGATCCTGGTGGTATTTGTTTTTTCAGTCATCAGTTGATAACTAAAGTATTGTGAAGAGTTGGAGCGGGGAGAGGGGAGAATGGTAGGGGGATTTGTGAGAGCTATACTCGGATTGTGTTCTTCAGCTCCTTGGCTGTGTGACAGATTAACATGTGGACACCACAATGATAGCTATGGGATGTCATCTAGAAAGTTGAAGACCAGATCTCAGTTACAAGATAGCTTTTCCTTAGGCCTAAAATTCCACCACTCTTTTCATAAGCTTAAAATAATGCCTTTTACAGATGACTTTCAAAAATATTTAACTTAAGATGTGGTATTTTATTATTTATGAAATAATAAATGTGAGTTTATTAAATTGCCTTTCAGTAGCAATTTATTTTTAGATGTTGGTGAGGGATACGAAATTACCTTCAAGGAATTTATACTCTGGTAAATGAGAAACTAGAGTTGGAAAGAATCTGTTCCATGATACATTCCAATATATAATAGGAAGTTGCTAAATACTTTTAAAAACAGGTAAGTTTATATTATTGTTTTCTTTGGAGATCAGAATAGTCAGATTTTGCAGTTCCTATTTGGATAGCCAAGATGGACAGTGGATAAAGGAAAAGGATGAGCCATGGTATAGAGAGTCAAGATGCTGCAAGATGAGAAGGCATGGTTTCTCTGTGGAAAACCTACCTTTTTATTGGTATAATGGAGAGAGGAGAGGAGAGCTTGTGAAGAAGGCAAGGTGATTTGTTTAGCATCACTGCTGTTGAGAATAATGCTTTGTAATATAAACTACAAAACTGGGCAATATAAACAATAAGTATTTATTAACTATGTATATTATTGATTTTGCTTAACAATAAATTAACGAATGAATGAATAAATAAATCCAAGTGTGAATTTGTTTACTCAGGGACTATATCAGTTCTATACCCACTACCCTACTGGAAATTAATAGAGAAACACTTTCAAAAAAATAAAATTGATACTCCTGCTCTGAGGCCTTTGTTGAAAGTGAGGGAACAAACTCAAAGTGAAAACTGTCAGCGATGGTAATGGATGAAAGAACTACACCACAAATGTGTAGGTTCATCTATCAGGTAGTCCCTTGAACTGAGCTACATTAGCTGAACAACTTTTATTTTGTAACTCACTTCTGTGCTTTTATTTTATTCAATTATTTGACCATTTTGATGGCTTTTTATAATTTACTAAATTCAAATTTCATTTTAGTTGCATTAAGGGAGAAAGAATTTGTACACCCTTTAGCAAGAAGAAATTACAGGAGCTGAAACCTTTCAAGGTCAGGTGTGCCCATGCAATGTAAGTTATGTTGGAAATCTAGGGGAAAGTGTGATGATCACATATAATGATTCATAGGGAGGAGAGGACCAACGGCCTGGATATTTTAAAGTTTAAAACTGTAATTCCCAAATAACCCTACATCAGGTCCATTTTCTTGGCAAAATGATAGGCTATTTATAACCAATCTGACTGTGAGACCTTTGTATTACTCTAAAACTACTTAAGTCTTTCATCAGTTTTTGCATGTTGTAAGGTTCTTCTGAACACCCTGTACCAAGAGGGTCAAATGAATTGTGTGATTTGATAAAAGGGTGAGGTAAAACCCTCATAATATTACTGCTACTAAAAATATGCACAAAAGAATTAGGTTTGAAAATCAACCACTATTTCTGGGACATGTCACCAGTTATCTGACTTGTCTGTGGTATCCATATGAATAAGCTAATTATCTTCACTGGTGTAGTAGTTTTATGCAAATAAGATTATTGGGCTAAAAAAAATCCAGGTGCCTGTATCTGTGCCTGTGTATGATTATCCTGAGTGGGTATATTTAAAGCACACTCAAAGGAAACTTAAGAAAACCTAGCAACCAGTTCTTGAAAAATAAACAACATATGTAGTATAAGCTGACACTAAGAACTTACAATGTGCAGGTGTTCTGCTAAATGTTTTAATAATCATTTAAAAAAACTTAGGAGAGATACTATTAGTATCTTTATTTTACAGGTAAGGAAAGTGAGGCACAGATGATAAATGGCAGAGCTAGTATTGTTATACAAATGGTTTTCAGGGACTTTTATTCCTTAATTGCTAATTGAAATAGGCAATGTGAAAAGATCTCCTAGACTCGAACAGTATAAAAGATGTAAAAATGTCACTGGAAACAGATGTAAATCTGAGTATTTTGAAACAATACTAAAAACTGACATGATTAATAGAGCATTTCCCCTTCTCTGATTTATTGACTCTCAATCCATAAAGAAGCTTGTTCCAGGGCAAGTGATCTGTTTCTTCATTTCTTTCCTCTGTAAGTTAATCTCTGGGACCAAGACAACCAAGCTAATCTCTCCTCTGTCACAGAGTTCCTCCTGCTGGGATTCTCCAGCTTTGGAGAAAACCAGCTCATCCTCTTTGCTGTTTTTCTGTGCCTATATCTGATTATCCTGTGTGGAAACATCACCATTGTCACTGTCATCCGCCTGGATCGCAGCCTTCACATACCTATGTACTTCTTCCTAGGGATCCTCTCCATCTCTGAGACCTGCTACACATTTGTCATCCTACCCAAAATGCTCATCAACCTGTTGTCTCTTCTCAGAACAATCTCGTTTGTTAACTGTGCCATTCAGATGTTCTTCTTTCTCAGTTTTGCTGTCACTAATTGCATGCTCCTGGGAGTGATGGGCTACGATCGCTATGTGGCCATTTGCCACCCACTTCGTTACCCCCTCCTTATGAGCTGGCAGGTATGTGGACAGCTGGTGGCAACTTGTGCTGGAATTGGTCTTCTGTTTTCACTAATAGGTTCCCTTTTAGTCTTCAAACTCCCTTTCTGTGGCCCAAACAAAATCAACCACTACTTCTGTGACATTTCACCAGTTATCCGCCTTGCCTGTACTGATAACTATATCAATGAGCTAGTTATCTTCGTTGGCGGAGTTCTAACACTTATGGTCCCTCTGACATTCATTTGCATCTCCTATGGCTTCATTGTTCGCACCATCTTGAAGATCCCATCAGCTGAAGGCAAGCGAAAAGCCTTCTCCACCTGTGCTTCCCATCTCACCGTGGTCATTGTACACTATGGCTGTGCTTCCTTTGTCTACCTGAGGCCTTCAGCCAAGTACGCATCCAGCAAAGATCGGCTAGTGACTGTGACCTACACAGTTGTGACTCCATTGTTGAACCCCATGGTGTACAGCCTGAGGAACAAAGATGTTCAGGTGGCCATTCGGAAAGTGCTTGGCCGAGGAGGATTTTATCCTAAAGCTCTATAAACAGCGTATTTCACATCTATGGAAACATCCTTTCCAAGGACATAATTATAATGTTGGTGATACTCCTACCTTTCATTTCCATAGCACTTTACTAGCCTCATAGTGCAAACTTTTCATAGTATTATTTTTATGGGCTTTGTGGAGTGCAACCTTGCACTTGGGTTTGTTGAAAAGTCAGCAAAATCAGTTCTGAGCCTAAAATTCTTTTTAAACTTGCACAGATAAGTACTTTAATTTCTTAGGATACTTAGAGAATGATCTTAGTTTCTCTAACGAAGGACACAAAACATTATTGATAGCAATTTAATATATAAGGTTCAACTATCACAACTTCTCCACAGTTTAGGAAAATCTTAGTAAGACCCTTCACTAAAAGATCTTGGAGAAAGCGAAATCAATAGAATAGAAAATTATTCATACAACTGTGAGCTAACAGGGTTAGAAAGGACCTAGGGCTATCACCCTCATCACTTTCATTACAAGAGCCTCACCTGTGGGATCTCAACTTTGGCTAGCCACTAAATAGGGAGTCAGATCACTCTTGAATATCTCTAAGTATTAAAAAGTTCCACTCTTATATATCTTCCTCCTTTTGCTCTGATTGTTTTTAAAGATAAGCAGATTGTGTCTAATATTTTATTTATACAGCCACAATTCAATATTTAAAGATGGATAATGTATGGAATCATGATAACATTGCCTAGAGTCTAACTTCACGATATGTCAGAGACCAAAGTCCTGCTTAACTTTTTCTGGATACTTCTTTAAATTCTTCCTATTTTGTTAATAGTGTGCTTAAAATAAGTTATCAGGAAACAGATGCAGCACTCCAGGTGACTTGGGATGATTTTGTGTGTCAGTGCAGCCTGAATTTCATCACTGCCCTATGAACTCTACCACATATGTGCTCTTCTTTGACTGCTGGGTTGCTTAGATCCAAAGGTTTGATGTTATATAACTACAGTCCTACAATTATGAAACTTATAGAGATTAGTTTAATTTTATTTTAAAAATCTCAGATTTGGCACTGGTTTATTTAAAAAAAATCCTTCCTTTGATTTTTTGCCCTATAGTTCCAGGATATCCAGATCTTTTCATATCTCACTGTGTATTCAGACTACTGATTGTCTCTTACTGCTCCATTCTGTCTCTTCTTCCAGGCTTGAATAGCAAACAGTATTTCTACTATGTAAAAACACAATTAATAGGTGCTGTATACATTTCTTTACTTATTTATGTTTGATGGCAATGGTAACTAGGATCAAATACTGATGGCCACCAAGGGCTGGATGTGAGAGTAATGTAATATATCAGATGTTTTCTACCTCTATCTTAGATACTCTAGAAAATAAAATCACTTAGAGAAGCTCTATTTTGGAAGCCCTCATACTCAACTTCTGCTCTGCTGTATTATATGGAATCATAAAAATGTATTCTTTTTAAATATCTATAAGTTCTAGAAAGTAGTAGGTGACCCCTTTCAAAAAGCACATTCTTGGAAAGAATATAAATAAAATATAAAGCAGAATGGATTAGTTTGTGGCACTATGAAAATTCCCTGTACTCCAAGAGTACCTAGGCTATTTTATAATAATCGAGGTGGTAGAAGCAGAAAACTGTGGGAGGATGGGACCTGATTTTATGAACTGCCATTAAGAAATCTCTTGAGGGACCAGCAGGTGGCATGATGATTAAGGTACTGAATTCCATACGGCCAACTCCATAGTTGTAGTCCTGAACCTGGGGGGCCAGAAAAACACTCTGGGTATGTGTTGAAAGGAGAATGAAGAAGAAAGGATTTTGGTGTGTCCACCCTCCCAGGGGATGATTTCTCACTTTCTCTCTTTTTCTCTCTCTCCCTCTCTCTCTGTCTCTCTCTGATGAGTGCACAAACCCTATGGCAAAAAAAAAATCTAAAAAAGAAAAAGAATAATAATAATAAGATTAGAAGAAGAAAAGAAGAAAGAGAAGAACAAGAAGACTCTCTTGAGGTGCTTTGTCGCTTACGTTGTCAAAGAGACAAATATGGTTTTATTCTTGGTCAAGTCTCACATTTCCTACCACATACATCTTATGATATCCTATAATGTCGTGGCATTTAAAAGTATTCTTAATGCTTTTGTTGCATGTTTCATTGTCCAAGATTTTCTTCTGTCTTCATTTTAACAAAAATTCACTGTCATGAAAATGAAGTGAATAGGAAAAGATAAAGAGGTTGGTATTTCCCAGATCTAGAGATTATCCAGGAAATAGTCTGTTCCCAAGCACATTGTCCTTCTCATCTTTCCATCATAAAACTACTTTTTGTGATTCTTCGGTTAGGATCTCAAGCTCTTCTGCCTGATTATTATTTTCAGAGTTTCATTATAGATATATATTCTTTTTAAAAGATAATATATGTAATAAAAGAGGATGCAACACCCAACTTTAAAGCACTCAGCAGTTGACCTAATCTGTCAATCCCCTTTGGCAGTTGAGTTCTATTAATGTAATAAATTGGGTTATCACACTAAGTTAATAATTAATAATCTCAAATGGACACCTAAATAATTATTAATATTTTTAATTTTATGAAAAAATCAATTAATTATACATATTTTTTGCAGAAAATTGTCATCTGTATGTTTAGCTCTACTTAAATGACAATGAAATACCTCCCCTTCCCTAGACCTCTTTCTCTCACACACACAATGGCAACTGATGATACTGCATCATAATATACAGAAAAGAAGATATACTAGAATTTTCCCTTTCTGTCACTGCATTTATAAACATGTTTGCATCATAATTAGCCTTAATATCATTTATTTTTTCATGTCCTCTGTATTTTGCCCATTCCTTATAATAATTCCTGAATTCTTCCCTCTGCAATCTTTTTTTTTTAAATTTTACTTTGTTTTGTTTTAAATTCTGTCTTGAGCAACAAGGATCTAACCATCTGTGAATATACACAAAGGATGACAAAGGATAAATGTGTCTAGGTCTTTTCAGTTCAGGTACTTTTCAGGTTATGTCAACTCATTTTACCCACTCCAGTAATAGATACAAGAGAGAGCTGGAGGAATTAGAAGGAAGCCAAGCAATTGATCTTAAAGACATTCTTATTACCCTTTGATCTGTAGAGCTTTGAAGGCAGGGAAATGCTGCCTTAGTACAGACATTTGAAATTAAAGAGGAGAGGAATTGATTGTTAGTCATTTAATAAATAAATAAAGCTGACATTAAGAGTCTATTATTTATTTATTTGTTCATCAAGTATTTATTGAGTTAAGTAATGAAAGATATAGAAGTGATAGGAACATTTTTCCTGCTTTCAAAATACTGAATCTACTATTTACTTCTCCAAACTCCTCACATGGGTAAGAGTGGCTTTCTTTTATTAAATAAAAGCTGCTGGGACCAGCAGTTAGAGTAATGGCTGTCGCTGGACTCCCACGTAGTCGACCGTGGTTCAAGTCCCTGACCCGGTAGCTTAAACTCACTCCCGACGCGTGTGTGTGCGTGCCCAAGATCCCAAGAGGAGAATGGAGGAGAAGGGATTGCAGCATAGCCATCTCCCCTGGGGGGTGATTTCTCACTTTCTGTCTCTCTGTCTCTCTCTATCTGGCGAGCGCATGTGCCCTATAGGAAAAACCTCTCCAAAAAAAAAAAAAAAAAAAGCTGCTGACAGTACTTTTTACATACAGCATAGATAAAACTTTCTTTTTTTTTCTCCCTGTGGATTCTCTTCCTACTCATTTTTAAATTGAAATATTCAAAAACATGTTATACAAATGGCATTGAGTAAGTTAATGAATATCAGTAAGATATTGATTAATAAAAGTTGTTTTTAACCCTCTACTTTAAAAAACAAAAATCTAGGGGGCCAACAGGTGGTGTGCTGGTTCAGGTGATGGATCCCTGACTCTTTAAGTTGAGTACTGGATTTGGTGGCTTGAAAATCATGCCGGGAATGTCTGTGTGCATGTCCACAATCCTGAGAGGAGGATGGAGGAGAGAGAATTGCAGGGTAGCCATCTCTTATAGGAGAAAGATTCTCACTTCCCCCTCTTTATCACTCTGTCTCTTTTGCATGTGCCCTCTAATGAAAACCTAAAACAAGAACAAAAACCCTAAAAACTAGAAAATATATAAAAAACAGTTTTCAGATATTGAGTAACACATAAACTAAGACTGTTATTCCTGAGATCAGAGAAACAAATGATTTTCCACTTTATGACCTGGAGGCAGTTTCCATGGTTCAAAACAGTTATGGGCTCTAATCATGGAACTTGAAAGATTCTAATTTTAGACCTCAAGAAAATCTGAATGCGAGGATATAGAGTTAACAGATCAAAAGAGGCAAAGAGTCTCTGATTAACTTCAGCCTGAATATGATATTATTCTAAAAGTTATGTCTTGGTTTTACCCAATAGAATATAATTTCACACAACGTCACTATTAGATAGCACTGCATGACCATTATGGAGTGGGGAAAAATATTGTAAAATATTTAAGTATTGAAAGTTGGGAGTTGGATTACTATTATCATGATATTATTGGCAGATGGATGACCCAAAGAATATTGAGCACCCTTGCTGATGGAAGGAGACAAAGATTGAAATACAAGGAGGGCAGGTGAATCATTTTCAAGGCAAAAAAACTAGACAGAGGGATCAGCACGCAGAGAGGGAGTATAAGTATCTGCAACGAGATCTCAAATCTGTGGATGAGTACTTATATTCAATTTGTTAATAGAAGGTGAGGAAAGAACTACTGAAAATTATTAGTGCTCACACAAGAGTTTATGTTCCCAGTGGTCTCAATATATAACTTTGAATAGTGAAAAAATATATTACTTGAAGTGAAAAATATATGAGATAGGACTAGTAACAGATACTGCAGAAGAAAAGGTTACTCTGAACACATCAATTGAAAGCAAATAAGAAAGAAAAAACAGAAAAGAAAAAGAGAGGTTTGTGACATGTGAGAAATTATCCAGCTATGAAAAAAAATGCATA